ACTTTTAAAATTTTAACGTGAAAATAATATTACATCATTTTATTAACTTCATACATATATATATAGTTTAAACATTTATTTTGGAATAAATAAATGTTAAATACGTAGGTTTTAGTACATTACAGGAATGAAATGGGGGTTGAATGTTATGATTAATGAACTAAAAAATTAGAATGTACAAATGAAGTTCCTATCTTTCAAATTTCATCCCCTAAGTGAATAAAATGGCTCCAAAACTACTGTAAACTCGAAATTAACCTTTAGAATTAGATACACGAAAAATTGCATTTAAATTATCCATTAAAAATAAAGGAAGCGTGTTGTATTGTTTTTTTCAAAACTAGTCATGAATGAGGTGAAATAAGGGATATAGTATATTATTTTTGATGTTTGAAGTTATAAAAACAGATATTTGTATCAGCAATCAATGAATAAAAACAAAAATTTGCGAAGGAACCTTATTGTTCTATAAGTGGTAAAAATGATTTTTCTCAGGTAATTAATTTAATTTTTATTAGTAGTTTAAAAATTTTTTACTAATATTTTTAAGTTTATTCTTTGTTGCTTTTTTCTAAAGGCGTTCTGGTAATTGCGCATTAGTGGGGCTCCAGCCCGACTTTAATAAAAAGATTTTTTAACAATTGGTGTATATTAAGAATGCCAAGAAAAGAGAATTTAGGTCTGGAGAAGCCAGAAACATTGCAGAGAAATATTTTTGTTAAGTGATTATACTGTTTTCAGCTTTCTATTTATTTATTCTATCATTAAAAAAAAAATATTTGATGAAGGGTATAGGTGAGATAAAAAAGTGGATGGAAGACAGATGCTGTCTGTACATAGCAAGAAAATTACCATCATGATAAGTATATTTTATCATAATAGTAACTATCAATAAGAAATATTTGGGAAACATTTAATCACCCCTTCCCCCCCTGTGACAACCACCACTAGCATATTAGACTCCCATCTTCCACGTTTTTTAACTTTACAGCAGAAAAAATATTTATAACATTTTTTTGCAATTAATAATTGTAAAAAATGGCCTCTCCCACCTTATATTTTTTCTAGGTAGTAGAATATGTTCCGATCATCAAAAAAAAGTTTTTATTGAAATTGGACTGGAGCCCTATTAATGCACAATTACCGTCATTCTCATTAATAAACACTTTTTTTCGATTTCTAATTGAAGGTTTGTAAGAAGTGGTAGATACAACTTTGCACTTTTCTCTACATTTTTGTCATCAGTTTCTGTCATTTGTTTACCCCATGTTACGTTGAACTTTGGGGTGTATATACTTGCTTACAGTGCAGATCAATGTAGGCGGAACTAGGGTGAGAACAAGTGAAAATCAGAGCCGGGTAACTCAATCAAGATTCGCAGTGACGTAACATCTCATTATCAGAATAGCATTCACCAAATATCGCTATGTTACTGGATGTAATTCGTAAAGTAGATTAAACGGAATGTCTCTGGGTAAATACCCGGTGAATTATCTGTTATTAACATTGGCGTGCTTAACATTTTTGTTAGGTACTTATATAAAAAAAATATTTATTCATTGAATCGAAAACACTTTCACTAAGTTCTTGTACTTTCATAATAAAAACAAAACACAACGTTTAAGTTAAGTTACCTACAAAAAAAGTTTTATTAATTTTTCACCCTTCCGCCTAAAGAAGGCTACTGTATAGTAAACAATTTCATCTGTTTTATGTATAAAATTGATATTTTCATCCGTTTTACTCCAATTAGTCTATTAGATTTTGTCCTTCTGATTGCATATTAAGTGGTGTGTAGGTACAGTCGAATACATTATTTTAGAGTCAATTATTACAAACGAATTCATAGTCTAAACGGCTTAGTGGCAAAGTACTAAACTAGCACTCTAATCATAAGGGTTCCAATCCTGGACTGAAAATATCCTCTGCATGATTTTTCTTAACAAAATAAAAAACAAAAATAATAAAATTGAAACAGAATTTTACTTTACGACAACAGAAATCTTAAGGATAATCCGGAAAATGAAACGAATAGTTGAATAGTGTAATGATACTGATACTTATTTTTTATTAATATCTAGTAATTGATAGAAGAAGAATTTGATCAGTTTCATATACAGGTGATTTCATAGTATGTATTATTAATGAACAACGAAAGAGAGCTGAAAGAAATGATGCAAAAATTCAATAAATATATAAAAGTGAGATAAGGGCTAAAATTAAATACAGGTAAGCCAAAAATTTTGAAAGGAAAAACTCAGGAGAAAGAAAGAAGAAATTCAAATTCCAGTGGGAAGGAAAAATAATCCAATAAGTTAGAGAGCTAAATTACCTGGGATTCGTACTTCAAAAAATTAATGGAGTAGATGAATACATAAAAAAGCCTGAGGAAGAAAGTAATAGGGATTATGGGAAGGGTCTGGGGAATAGGAGAAAGAAATCTCAAAGAAAGTTCTTATTCGAGACATTGGTTGTATCCAACGCAAATATGGGAGTGGCAAGAAAGAAAACAAATTGAAAACATTCAATACAATGCATAAAATGGATTTAAAAATTAGATAGAAATACACCGAAATACCTATTACAAAAACAGAAAAATTGGCCATAAAATACTTGAAAAGAGCTTTAAAGTACGAAGAAAAAGTATTAAATTCAGAAAACAATATGTTACTAAAAGGACCTATAAAAATTAAGGATAATATATTGAATATTCAAACCAAAGGAAAAAAAAAAACACAACGAAAGATGGAAAAAAGAAAGAAAAGAATTTTTAGTGGAAAAGGGATGGGCGATCACTCGCTACGGAGGGAAACTGGAAGGAGAAAGAATTGTATGAAAACAATTGAAAAGTTTCGCAAAAGACATAAGCAAAAAAGAAGAAAAGAAAAATGAGAAACTTTGCACAGGAATACAAGCAAATATGGAAAGAAAGGAAGAAAAGGTTATTTAAAATGTGTAAAACCAAAGAGAAAAAACAAATTAGTTTTAACAGCAAGATTTAGACTGTGAAGTCAGAATATTACAGCGGTACTGAGAAGAAGTAGATAAGAAAATACGAAAGTTATGTAAATTGAAACCAGAGACGTTCGAACACGTTTTTGAGAGATGTGAAATAACAGGAAATGGTGCAAAAAAATGGGAAATTTAAATGGAAGGTCCAAAAAGTATGAGAGAAGTATTATGGAGGAGGAAAATAGCAGACAAGCCAGAATAATAAAAATGTATAATTTGTAGAATTGCATACATATATAAAACGTAATGTTTTCAATAAAGCTAATAAAGCTACTTATTTTTTATCTTTAATATTATAAGTAACATTAATGGTGCAATTTTAAGTTATATACGAATTTTTTATCTTTTTCCAACTATTAAATGAACAAATAAAATATAAAATTCTTTGCACCCCATGTACCAAACAAAAACTTTTTAATTTTGATTTTCGTTTCGTAGTAGGTACGGTTTCACTTAACGAAGACAATGTTAAAATGTCTTTTTTAATATAGAAAATTATAATTTGGTAGGTACATTTTTGAAAATTATTGGTCCTGTATTGCTAATGTACGTTTCGAAAAATGAAAGATAATTTTGAGGAGTATTTTGGTAAGAACGTAAAATGAGAAAATTTTTTAAGACACCTTGCAGATACACAACGATTTAGAGCAACAAAATAAGGAAAAAAAAATGTTCTGCAGTTCTGAGTGTTCATTTTGACGTTTATAATTATTGATTAAAGTTGTTTCAAAGTTTGTAAATGTGTGTAACGTACCTGCGTTCTGGAAAAGCAGTTAAGCAGTTCAAAGAAAAAATAAACTATCCGGATGTTTCCAGACGGTTCCAGAAAGCAAACAAGAGTATTTAAAGGAAGAGACGATCTCCGAGAGAAGAGAAATAAATTAACCGTTGCAGAAGTGAATCCAAAAATAAATTGACAGTGATAGAAGTGAAATAAATAGCGCAGTGAACAGTGACATTTCAACAGTAGTGTAAATAAATAGAATAATTCATAATCAGTTTAGTAATAATTTAATAGTGTTTTTTAAGTTCTTTAATAATAAATGTAAATAAATAGTTTCTGTCGTTATCAGTCTTAGAAGTTAATTTTGTTAAACCCACGAACATTACAATACGTACTTATAAACGCTAATTTATCTACATAATATTGTAAATTAACACAAATCAATTTTAGAAAAATTCTAAAAAAACTGTTTTTAGTCGCATTATATTACGATAAACACAGACTCTTAATTATGTACAAAACTACATCAATATTAACTTAGGAGCTATAGGTAACTATTCTGTATGCATCTACGACATCTAGTGTTCGACTCGACAATGCAGAATGGGGGAATCACCGACAGCTCCTGTAACTTGGAGATAATCCAAAAACATGGTACTATGATCTCATTGCTTATTATAGCAAGATAACCTTTCTAATAATACTTAAAGCGTAAATATGTATACATATGCAGGATCTGTTAAATATGCCATATATAAATATTTTAGATAATCTGCTAGAATAAAGACAAACGAAAATTGCAAAATTAAAAAAAAAAGGTCGTCTTCTGTTATATTTTACCAGTTTTAAGCCTAATAATAGATAACAAATATTATTGCTTACAAATAAACGCTGTTAATACATAATGAAAGTATATTTTTTGATATTTATTATAGATAATAGGTGGATTGACGACCTTATGATGATAGATAATAGATATACAAAGGGTATTATTTATGTACAAATATGTAAAGATTAAGGAAATATATACACCATTGGGTATATGTATCTCTTATCTATGCAGATATGCAGGCAACTTGGTGAAAATAACTATTAAATTAGCTTAGCAGTGCTGTAATTTTGCATGTTTTAAATGCAATATAAGACAAATATTTTATTGTTGTTCCAATTAAGTTTCTCTTTAAACATTGAAGGTATGCCTTTAATTATAATTAAATGAATTTTATTCGTAAATAATTTATTATTTAGATGACGTATTTCGAAAATTTACTGATCTCATCATAGGGAGTGGTTGAACAATCAAAAAACTATTTACTTCTTTAAAATTTTTAACAAAATGGGTTTATAGGTGCGATTAAGTTTATTTTTCGAATATTTTTTATGAAAAAACAAAGTACACAACCCCATAAAAAAAAACATCAGCTTAATCTGAAGTAAAGAAGATAAAACAATAATGTGCATGGCGGTCAATTTTTACATTAAATATATTTAGTCGTCTGTTTTAATAAATTATTTATTATTACAACTATGTATTGAAAGGCAAAATTAAAAATTTTTAAAAGATTTCGAGATTAATATTTAATCTTGTTGCAGTTACTTTAATATTTAATTATTTCAGGGTGATAAAAATGTTTGAACAATTAATTGTACAAATAAAGCATCAGTATGGAAAATTCTTATGTTTTCACAATGCAAGTAATAACAGTAAAGAACCAATATTTGGAATGAAGAAAGACTGCCAGGGATATAAACAGGAAGAAACTATAGTACATTTCATACGTAATGGTAATGGGTATCAAATACAGCATCAGGATGGAAAGTATTTAAATTTTGACCATGCATATACTAAATCTAAAGAACCAGTATTTGGAATGAATAAAAACTTTTTTGAGGATAAAACTATAGTACATATTTTACCTAAAGATGATGGTTATCAAATAAAACATCAATACGGAAAATATTTAAATTTTGACAATGCATATACTAAATCTAGAGAGCGAGTGTACGGAATGACGCAAGGATTTTATGAAGATGAGACTATAGTATACTTTATACCAATAAAATATAATTTTTCTATTAAAATTGAAGGTTTCCAATATGATACTAGGATGGTATATAACGCTCAGTTAAATGGTCAAATACAGCAATTCTCTTTGATTAATAAGACTTTTTATAATAATTCGGACACTAATCAAAGATTCAGTATAAATGAAAGTGTAACTGTTAACACTTCTACAACATTTCAACACTCAACAACAGATGTTACAACATGGCTAAATGAAGTTTCTGCAGGGGTTAGAATCACGGCCGAAGGTAATATTACTCTCCCTCTATTAACAGAAGGAAGAGTCGTTGGAGAAACCTCGTCTGGATTTAAATATACCTGGGGTAGAGAATCCACCGAACAGTTCAGTAACAGTACTACTAAAAGTGTTGAACAAACTGTGAACATAACAGATGAAATTACTGTTTGTCCTAAATCTAAAATGACCTACAAATATATCAAAAATCAATTATCTGGAATTGCAGTTCCATACGACGCGGTAATGAAAATTAAATGTGAAATGGGTGGAATTTATGTATCGGATGAAGCTCTTCAATTTATACTGGATCATATAGGAGATTGCCCTACTGGTAGCATTGCAAAAGAGAATGGATGCGGTATATACTCTGTTCCATTAGCTGGTGAGATGATAATAAATATAGCACTTAATTTCTCGACTTATTGTGATCAACTACCTTTATAAAATATAATCTTTACTAATGTTTCAGTGTGTTTTATGCACCCTATTACAATTTGATTGTCAGGTCTGTACGAGGTCTGTCCAAAAAGTATTCCGAATTTTGTGTTTGGTAAATGTCTAGATGATGGCCCCCACCCGAAGGGAGTGGGGGTGGGTGAGATCGAAAGAGGAGGGCTCCCACACCACTTTACTATAAAAAGTTCGTGGCGGTCTCACCCCCATAAAAACTTATGGGGGTTAGATAATGCCCCCCCACCCCCATAGGGGTGATCAAAAGAAGGTGGTCACCTGAGTAAAACCCCATAAAAAATTTGGGGCGGTCTCACCCCCATAACAAGTTATGGGGGCTGAAAGTTGATTATTTTGACAATTTTCATACACTATAATTCAAATAAAATTCAATAAAATAATTATTTTCAAGCGGGTGGAGGTGGGGGATCGAAAGAGAACTTGAACAAAACCAGATAACCTAACCTAACCCAACCTACCCTATTGATAAAGATATTTAAATAATGTTTTATATAACTTTCTCAATATTTTTATGTATTTTTCATTAGTTTTACCTTTGAATATTGTTTAAACATGACTATATAAATATTTACATGCCTAGAAATGTATAAAAATTGACATATTTATTAACTTAGAACCCCCATAACTTTTTATGGTAGCGAGACTGCCACGAACACTTTATGGTACAGTGGTCGGGGAGACCTCCTCTTTCGATACCCCCCACCACACCCTGAAGGGGGTGGGGGCTATCATTTAGACCTTTACCTTGTGTTTTTCAAAAATTGTTTATTTATCGATGAATATCTATTTTATCCCCTTCAAAGTAATCCCTACCAGATATTATACACTTGTGTCAACGTTTTTTCCAATCCTCGAAGCACTTCAAAAATAAACATTTTTTTTGATCTTGTTCAGCTCTTCCTTCGATGTCGTCTTTATCTCCTCAATCGTAGCGTAGCGTCGTCCTTTCGTGGGCCTCTTCAGTTTCGCGAACAAGAAAAAGTCACAAGGGCCAGATCTGAGGAACACGGTGGCCGCGGTATTATTAGTGTGGTGTTTTTGACCAAAAATTCGCCCATAAGTAACGATTTGTGAGCAGGGGTGTTATCATGGTGCAAAAGCCAATTTTATGTTTTTCCACATATCCGGACGTTTCTGACTGATTACTTCGCGCAAATTGCGCATAACTTGTAGGTAATAGTCCTTATTGACCGTTCTACCCTGTGGCAAGAACTCATGATGCACCACTAAGGTGGCCATATTTTTTTATTTCAAATCCGGGACGGGAACTTGTAGCGGGGGGGGAGGGTAGTTAAGTTAAATAACTTAAATATGATTTTTTTAATAAAAATTATTCACAAAAATTATACATAACAAATACTATTTAAGGATATAATAAAAATCATTATTTTTTTTAAATGAATAAGTGTATTTTCACTGAAGTTGATCACATCCGAAATTTCAGACAATAATAAAAATACTAAATTTCCAAAGAAAACAAGGCACTTTTCAAAGAACTCAAAGTCAAAATGTTGTAAAAATTGTAATATACATACATACGTGATTAATAAAATTGAACTAATTGTAAAAGTCNTCGGTTCAAATTTTGTAAAAATAATTCTAGTTGAAATATATTTAAAATAAATATTGAAAATAAGAACCTTTTCAAAAATTCGGGACAATCCGGTACAATAAACCTGAATCAAGGACAAATATTGCTTCTAGAAAAATCCGGGACGAAAGGTGGAAATCCGGGACGTATGGTTACCTTATACACCACGCCTCTGCAATCGAAGAAAACTTTAAGCAAAACCTTCACATTCGACTTAACTTGACGCGCTTTTTTGGTCTTGGCTCGGGCGGCAGCTCCCATTCGGATGATTAAGCTTTGGTTTTCACTTCATAACTATAAACCCATGATTCGTCACCAATTATGACCCTCTGCAGCAAATTTTGGTCGTAGCCGACAGAAATTGAGCAATTTTAGTACGAATTTCGCGGCGACCTGTTTCATGCCCAAATCATTGGTAAAAATCGAATGGCAGGAGCCAATCGATATATTTTGGTCCTCAGAGAAACAGGAGTACCAACATAACACCACAAAATCGAATATACGTAACCTGTGAAAATTCAAAATTCGCGATACTCTTTGTACAGACCTCGTATAAGGCTGACGGACTGTTGAAAAAGTGTGCTCAACTTTGCCCCTCCTAAGAGTAATATGCTTATATGTATAAAATACATTTATCATATTATCACGTTACTTACTTACTTACTTACTTACTGTTAGTGAGGAGATGCTGTTATATTTAACGGTAAATCAGGTAAGTATTGGACAAAGACCGACAAGACTCATTTTAAATGAGTGCGCCATTTTATCATACGATTAAGGCACTTAGGTGTTGTCAGTTGTAATTTGGGTAATTATCTAAAAACTACCCCCTACCCCCTATCGAATTAGGGTTGTGGGAGTGTCCAAGGGAAGTCTATTGAGCAGGAAAAACATATTTAACTTTCGGTTGTTCCTTATTATAAAAATATGTTGAAAAATGTCTGATAAACCAGTGGTTAGTGTGCTACTTGTGCCCGACATTTTACTTTTTTTTTTAATTAATTTATTTTTACTAATTTCTTTTTTGACGAACAATTAGATAATGGTGGGCGTCGTGAGTGTTATCGTTGCCGTGTATTTCCTTTTATTTTATAGTCATTTTATTTCATAACATTACAAAAAAAGATGACCGACGACTATTAAATCCACCCAAGAAAATGTTGTAATTACTTCCCTTTAACACCTCCCACAACCCCAAGTCGATAGGGGTTTGGGGGATTTTTGGTACATTTATCTAAAATGAGCCTCGTATGTTTTTGTCCTGTTGGGTATATATGTCTCCTAAGCACAGAAATTAGATACTTATGAACAAATAGCACCTTGCAAATGTAAAAGAATTTTGTCTTAGAACATTGTATATATGTGAGCATTCTCACGAACTCTTTATGTTATGGTTTCGGCTCCGACCAGCCGGAATACGACTCAAACCCCGGGGAACTACCGGACCAAATGAAGAAAACCGACTAGTTCAATGATTCTTTTATTTAATTTGTTCGAGGACATTTTCTAAAGCTCTTGTCAGGTGTAAACCTATTATGTAGTCACTCGCTTTTAAAGTTAATAATAGTTGTTATTAAAAGCAAACTCGAGATTACCCACCCAAAAATCTCACATAAGATACATGGGTGTTAATGCCTAATAGCATTGTGATACACGTCCGTATGATGGGTAGCGCTAACTTCAAAATATAATTTTAATCGAAAGAAACTTTTATCAAATCTCAAAAACATCCTAATTTCCTCTAAATACCTATATGTTAGATAAATATATCAATAACAATAACACTCACAACGAAGAATTACAAAACCTTTATTTTTTTTCCTTTTTCTTAAAATAACAAAATTAATGAAACTCTTACTAATTAGAAAAAGAATTAGACTCTATATTCGAAAAGACTATATCAGAATGAATNATTTGTTAGATAATTATATCAATAACAATAACACTCACAACGAAGAATTACAAAACCTTTATTTTTTTTCCTTTTTCTTAAAATAACAAAATTAATGAAACTCTTACTAATTAGAAAAAGAATTAGACTCTATATTCGAAAAGACTATATCAGAATGAATCCTCAACCCCTTTCGATAGCGTTGGCCTCGAAACTCCAGACTGTTTATGTTTATATTTCAATGTTTTCCCATAATTTAAGACTGCCGAGGACGGAGACAGACCGGGAGGGAAAATGTCGCCAACATATAATTTAATTATTTTACAATTAATGTAATCGTTCACTGAAGTTGATCACATCCGAAATTTCAGACAATAATAAAAATACTAAATTTCCAAAGAAAACAAGGCACTTTTCAAAGAACTCAAAGTCAAAATGTTGTAAAAATTGTAATATACATACATACGTGATTAATAAAATTGAACTAATTGTAAAAGTCGTCAACGAATATTAAAAAAAACATATTGTAGCAGTAAAATTAGGTATTAATAATTGCTAAATAGTTTGCACAAAATGTAAATAAACATCATGTAAACATAAGCTAATTTTAGAAACATTTCCATTAAAAATTGATTTTTAATTGGATTATCATGGATTTTTAATTATAAAACAACAACAATATTAGCATATATCTGTTCTGGTATCTTTTTACGACATCTAGTGAGCGAGTTGGCAATGTAGAATGGGGGAATCACCGAACTCTTGCAACTTGGAGATAATCTAAAAACGTGCAATGATTTCACTGCATGTTGTATATTTAGTAATTTAACCTTCAGAGGAGAAAAAGTTTCTAATTATACTTTAAACGCAAATACGTATATACTAAGAGAATTTAGTAAATATGTTGTTTGATAATACAAAAAGCGTTTATAAGAAATAAAAGACATCAGTTGTTACAGCTTTTTATTTTTTCATTGTATTTGTTAATGGATTTTCAACGAGACGGTTGAAACCGTTGAAACGAAGTACGTATTAAAACATAAGATATAAGTAATGTTTATTGACTTTAACAAAAGTCGTTGGTGAGAGCGATATCGAATCGCAATTAACAGGATACATGCACCGACCCGCGATAAAAGTCTGCAAGATGGCAAAAGTGACAAATACCAATCATACCAATTTTCAATTTATAAATAAGATCAATAGAAATTTTAACATTTTTCAGTTTCTAAATTTTAAAGGACAGATTTTTGGAAATAGATTTAAGTTAAAAGGATTTATTAAAATTTATACTATTTTTGCATACTTACACAGTATATGTAGGTATAGCAGATGCATTATAAAGTGGTGGTGTTCACCGACAGAATTATTGCAAGAAGGCATGGAGAATAAAGAGCATCTGGGCTGTGATTTTCAATATTCTAAAAAAATGAAATTCTTTAAAAAATATAACGTAATATACAAATTTCATTGTTTACTTCGAAGTGGCTCGACCCTACACAAAAAATAAGTGATTTGTAACCCATTTTACAACCCTTATAGCTTATAATACTCGTTAACCATGTTACTATTTTAGTAGGTAATTGTCTATATCTAGATTAACAAAAAGTTGGGCGATGAATTAGAGGCGGGGTGGTGGGGGCTAAAAATGAAAATTTTTATAGTCTCACCATACATTACATAGTTGAACCCCCTTTCCCTACCCCCCAGGTGTCTTATTTTATCTTTACTTTTCGCAATATTATGAATTTATTCTCATACTAAATTTAAAAGAAAAAACGATTCTTTAACCCTGTTACTCCCAACTATCACCATTTTATGGGGGATGCTCAAAGTGAGTCCTACTATTTACTATTTTGATTTTTAGCCTCCACCTTTTACTCAATGAGGATGAAGCTCTTGGACTTCCTTCTACCCCTACCCCCACCCCATCTAAACATTTACCATGGATTTCGATGACTATAAATTATTAAACCCTTACAATTTACAATAAATAAGGAGCATTATTGGTGTCAAATAAAAATCACCAATTCATAATGAGAGAACTGTACTACACAACATACATAATGTATGTCTTTTTTTTAATTTTATTGTTGCATTGTGGCGCAGTATCGCTATCCCCTCCGTTAATGGCAATTTTTTATTACAAATACAGTCACATATACATGCAAGCATGTATAAGTAGCCGAAAGCGACTCTTATTAATTTACTAGTGCATCAGCTAACACCGAAGTCTTGAAAACAGTAGATATACCTACAGAATATAAATATTTTTGTGGTCGTTCAAATTCAGTTCTTTATACGTTGAAGGTATGTAAGTTTATTATAAATATCTATTGCAACAATTTTTTTTTTATTATGTGCATGGGGAAGTTCATAACATTTCTATGGTAAATTGTGTTCATTATGTGGATGATGTGTCTAATTATAAAAATAGCTTGTTTGTGTGCAGGTATTAGATGATAAAAATTTTACAACAAACACACAAGGCTATTACTACCATCATAATGTTTATATCGTTTAAAAAATGAATGTGAAATTTACAATAAATAAACAATGCGATAAAGAGACTTTAACAGAAAGAACAATCAATGCAATGTAGATCACATTTTTTTGCAATTATTCTAGTTTTTTGTTAATTACTCACAACATAAAATTTTTGTGTCACAATTATGAAGAATTCTTCTGCCTTAAGAACTGTTTGTAGGCTATCTGCATTTCTTCGTCCATTTCCGGATTTAAATCCAGATCAGTGTCAGATCCATCACTACAAAAGCTTAATTCAGGTATGTAAAACAATGAAAAACTAATACAGTTAATACTGTAATATACAAAAAAAACAAATAAACTTACTCAGTCATGTCATCAAGCCATTTTCTTTCTTCCAAAGTAAGTTCTATTCCATCAGGTCCATAGAAAACTCCTTCTGTATTGTATTGGTAGTTTACATCCTTTCCAAGTTGACTACAAAATCATTGTTACCATATAATAAAATATAATTATATAATTTCAATAAACTTCAAAGACATATAAATCACNGTAAAATAATAGACCAATTAAAAGTACTTTTATAAAATGATAATTTCTTATCTTTGTTTCTATTAAAAAATTAATGTAGGTGGTGAAGGTTAAATTACGCCCTGTTATAGGCTTATATGCAACTATGTTTACAATTGTTTTTATATCTACGTAATTTCTCAGTGGCTCATTACAGCTAGAATCCAAGTTTTATTAATTTTAAATTACTTATCATAAATGTTCAAATAGGTAGTAATTTTTTCTTTAATGGAGTGGGTTTAGGAATTTCGTGTTGTAACATGATGTGGGTAGACATTTGCTTATCATACAACAGCGTCGTAGTGTAGGGGAAGTCCCAAACTTGAAATTCTATCCCACACGTTCGAAGCTTATTTGTTTTGGCCTCAAAGTTTTATAAATAACAAATATTAAAAAAATGTATGCAAATACATAATATTTTTAGTTATTATGAATATGTACGTGTTCGATATTACATACATACCTAGTATGTATTATATCCAATTTAAATATTATATATGTGTATTTATGTAAGGTAAGGTAAATAGAGTTAAATTAATATTAAATTTTAATTTGCGCAGATGGATAAGGGTTCTTCCAATAGAACAAATCAATGCAATCCCAATCATGGTTCTACAGGCCCCGGCCGTTCTGCAGGGTATCATGGCTCTGGCACCAGATCAGATTTGAACAATCATTCTAATCAATCTAATCCAAACAATCCTTCTTACTACTCGAGTAGAAATACATCTAAAAAATAATTCCGATTTGTTTCTTCTTGTTTATTTTGTTCATAATATGATTTGAAATAAAGAGAAGTAAATTTATGTAACATTCTTTTATTTATTTATGAAATCTTAATATTAATAATAAGTAAAATTATTAAAACAACACTTCCAACTGACTAAACATGAGAAGTGCATTTTTTTCCAATTTGTGATGAACATTATAACAGATTTATTAAAACAAACCAGAAATTGAAAAATTTCAACAGGATCTATCTAGCACTAGCAAAAATATAAATTTGTAATATTTTTTCTTTACTCTATATTCGTTTTGGTGTTTATTTTAAATATTGACTGTAACAGGGTACCCGATAAAGAAGAATAAATTAGAAAAAAATTTTAAAGCTTTTAGATCAAAATAGTTGTCATAATGTTACTATGTTAGATACCATGAAGTAACGCAAATCATTCTCTTTTATTACGAAATCGAAAAGCAATCCATGAAATCGAAAAAAAATGATTATAAAAATTGCAAAGCGCCTGCTACAATTTAATTAGAAGTTTATTCAGTAAGGCAAAAAAGTGAGAACAGGCGCACGCGCTGCTCAGCTTGCTGACTTTAAAATGTTAAAAATAATTCATATACGCGCTAAAAGCGATATTTTGTTGTATAATGATTTGATAAAATGGTCTGGTTGTCGTTTTAAATCAAATTCCTGTTGAATAAGGTAAGTGCAACCGTTTTGTTGACATTTAATTGATTTTCCAAATTGGCATCAGACATTTAAGTAGTGAAACAAATAACATGTTCTGCCCAGAGCACACTTGGCATACACGTAAGAAAGCAATTTACAAAAGTCGTACGTACGTACGTATCGTGAAGTTACCTTTTTTTCGACAATTTTTACTGTAGGGTTTGCAATTTGCAAGCACAAAAAAATGCGACAATCAACATATCTTTAATAGTGAATAATATTATTGAATTATTGAAATACATTTAGCTGAAATTTTCATAAAATTTTAATTGACTTTTTCTTAACATATTTAATTAAAATGCTTCACAATAATATTACCAGTACGTAATGTTAATATCAACCTAAATAATAGTAGTAAGTTTTTCATTAATGATAAACATCATTATAGAATTAAACTAAAAAACAAATTATTAAATTATTTTGTCTGTTTTAATATTTAGCTATACCCATTTTTTATCTTTCCAGAGTTATAATGAAATTAAATATTTCGTATCCAGCCACTGGCTGCCAGAAGTTGTTTGAGATTGTTGATGACCACAAAATACGTATTTTTTATGATAAGCGAATGGGATCGGAAATAGCGGCTGACCTTTTGGGAGACGATTGGAAAGGTTACATATTTAAAATTACGGGAGGTAACGACAAGCAGGGGTTTCCCATGAAACAAGGCGTCTTAACGAACACTAGGGTACGTCTTTTGCTAACTGAGGGTCATTCGTGTTTTCGATCACGAAGAGATGGCGAAAGGCGGCGCAAATCTGTCCGGGGGTGTATTGTGGATGCAAATTTGAGTGTTTTAGCACTGACAATCGTTCGTAAGGGTGTGAGGGAAATTCCTGGACTGACGGACAGCACGATACCACGTCGTTTGGGACCAAAACGAGCCAATAAAATTCGCAAACTTTTTAATCTGACAAAACAAGATGATGTACGTCAATATGTCATTAAAAGACCGATTGCTGAAAAAGAAGGTAAAAAACAACGGTTTCGAGCTCCAAAAATCCAGAGACTTATCACCCCTCAGACCTTGCAACGCCAACGCCATCGCTTGGTTTTGAAAAAAAAAAGATGTCTGAGACGAAAGGAAATTGTGACAGCATATAAGAAAATTTTGGCGCAACGTCACAAGGAAACTAAGCAGAAAAAACAGGAGCTGAAACGTCGCAGGTCGTTCACTGATAAAGAAAGTAAAATTTCACTTCATAGCTTATAGCGAATTTTTGGTACCGTTGTGTTAGTCCTTTTTTTTTTTGGACGATAGTTCTATTGCTAATTTGGGACGCTAAGGTGCAAATCGTATAAATGATTATGAGCAGTTAATTGCGATAACCACTTATTTCATAATTTACGTTCTTTATCGTTGTTATTTCCTCAATAAATAAGTGTTTGCGTACCTAGTATTATTCGTTTTCGTAGTGTAGTAATGTATCTAATTCTCTATTTGTATTCAATAACTTGTGCTTTTGTAATAGATTGAAATTATGCCCAACAAGCTGGGCGAAATGTTGGCTGTGGTTTTTTAAATAAAATACTTTTAACCCCAGTATTGCTTTGATTAAAAATATTTGAAACCAAAATCGGGGAAGAAGAGTTTATTAACAAAAAGACTATCTTCTTACACATCTTTTTATTGAGCAACATTTTCTCATATACAATCAGCTCTGCTAGGTTTACTACAGGGGACGATATCATTATTTTTTTAATGTATCTATTCCTAGTAATGCATTCCATATTTTGGGATTTTCGAAATTAAAAAAAAAATAAAATAAATAACGCACTACAAAATACACAAATTACTTAAAAAAGTTATATTATTTTTGAGATATCACAGTGTCATTTCTTTAGTGTTACGCACCTCCCCAACATTTTCAAATATTAGAATTACAAGTTAAAATTGTAAAAAATACAATAAAGTTAAAATTGTAAAAAATATAATTAGCAATAAACTTAGTTCACTAAAGTTTTTTTTGTGTTTCTTGTTATATAATATGGAAGTGAATGTTTCTTTAATTGGCGAACTTAGTGGTCTACATTAAAATAATAGTTTTCTTTTTAGTGTTTTTTACCGATTGTTTTTATACCTACACCACGCTATATACGCGTACTTATTATTACTTTTTTTATGTAAATATTTGCAAATTATTGTATGACATACGTGTAAGAAAGAAGATCAACTGTTATCTAACACTAATTTTAAAGTTACAGTATTTTTTCATTTCAAAATTTTTTAATGTTTTTTTTTATTATGTGCATGGGGAAGTTCATAACATTTCTATGGTAAATTGTGTTCATTATGTGGATGATGTGTCTAATTATAAAAATAGCTTGTTTGTGTGCAGGTATTAGATGATAAAAATTTTACAACAAACACACAAGGCTATTACTACCATCATAATGTTTATATCGTTTAAAAAATGAATGTGAAATTTACAATAAATAAACAATGCGATAAAGAGACTTTAACAGAAAGAACAATCAATGCAATGTAGATCACATTTTTTTGCAATTATTCTAGTTTTTTGTTAATTACTCACAACATAAAATTTTTGTGTCACAATTATGAAGAATTCTTCTGCCTTAAGAACTGTTTGTAGGCTATCTGCATTTCTTCGTCCATTTCCGGATTTAAATCCAGATCAGTGTCAGATCCATCACTACAAAAGCTTAATTCAGGTATGTAAAACAATGAAAAACTAATACAGTTAATACTGTAATATACAAAAAAAACAAATAAACTTACTCAGTCATGTCATCAAGCCATTTTCTTTCTTCCAAAGTAAGTTCTATTCCATCAGGTCCATAGAAAACTCCTTCTGTATTGTATTGGTAGTTTACATCCTTTCCAAGTTGACTACAAAATCATTGTTACCATATAATAAAATATAATTATATAATTTCAATAAACTTCAAAGACATATAAATCACAATTACCTAGTTATTTTGTTGTTTTCTATGTGATTTGCATTGGTCTTGCCCCAATTTGTACTTCTTAAATTGACCACGCATTGTACTAAAGATTTCAGTGAATCAGACAGATGATTTTTCGATAATTCCAATTGATCAAAAATGTAATCAACATCTTTTGTATAATGAGCATCTAACAAACTACCAGTTAACTAAAAAAAGTTAAACAAATAATTAAAATAGTTAAGTTGATAAATAAAAGGAGAAATAGGCTAGTAGGGTACCTTCTAATATATAAAGGGCTAGTTAGAGCAAAAACAGAAGTAAAGGACAGGGGAAGATATACATTAGGTTACTGTTTGCAAATAGTTAATGTTATACTTTTGTGAAATGACAATTAACTATAGGAAGGAGTGGAAGTACATGTCCAACCAGCTTTCAGAGAAATGGCCCTATGATGATAATAATGTTGAGTTAAAATCACACTACATAGGAATCTAATAATACCTTCAGCACTTGACATGCAACTTTTAGATTGTTTGGAAAGTCGCCACTCTCTTGAATGCAGTTCTCCACTTTGACTAAATTTTTAAGACATTTAAGGAGCAAAGTCCCGTACATTTCCTCAGCATACTGTTGAGCATATAATTCAGCCAAAAATAGTGTTAAACCTTGATCGTAAGGAAGTTGGTCAATTTTCTTTTGACATAATAAAACTAGTCCGGGTTTGAATAGACCACTCTGTTCCTCCATAAATAAGCAAAGCCTTGCAGCACTATAGCTGAAACTAGGTATTAAGAGAGCCTAAAAGATAAGAAAATACTTTTATTTATAGTCTTCCAGCCATTCAAAAATAACTTTACCTGTTCTACAATTAAATTGGCCAATTTTCCTAAAAATTCAACATCTTCCAAGTAAGGTTCAACAACTTTCTGAACTACATCTAGTGCAGAATCATATTCTCCAGGATCCTGAGTTATTCTAAAAATAATTTCATGAAGGCTCTGCAAATCATCATTACAAATTTCAACAATGTAATTCTCATTGTTAAAGGAAACTTGATCATCAGCAGTGGGATTATTGTCTTTTAATGTTTTAATTTTTAATAGTCTTCCCTGAAGTGAACTTGATGGTAATTGTGATGAATCGTTAGCAGCTTTATGAGAAGGTGGAAACCACTCCTTGGCATCAACTGACAAAGTACTTGTTGATAATATATCTTCTGTGAAAGTGAGTGAATTGTTTAATTTATCAGACAACTTTTGTTCCAATCCGGGATCTTGAGTGTTATTTCGAGAATCTTTTGGTCTTCTCAATGGACCAGCCTCCTCGGGACCAGTCCATAACGAAACAGGCGGACCTTTAGTATCACCCATTCTTCAAAATTTAGCACTTTACTTTCCAAAGAACAAATTTGCTAACTTCAGTTATACACTGTGAATATCAAATAATCAAATAATATTTTTAATTTACAATAATTTCCCAAAGTAATAATGAAAGGATGTAAACAATATGGAGAACTTTCTGACATATGTGCTATTTGGCATTTGACAAAACCACAAAACTGACAATAATATTATCTGATTCTGCGTACATGTATATGTCAAAATTTGAAGTAGTCATCAGTTATTCAATCTCTTGTTCATCTAAATTTATGATCGGTTCAAATTCATAGATCAATATTTTTTAAATGAATAAGTGTATTTAAAATGGAAAAAATAAATTTTTGATAATCTTTCTTAAATACCCGAAACATATATCTGTGCCAAAACAAAACATTAATGAGACCAATAATAATTGTTAAATTTCACTGTATTGTTGTCCTATTTTTTACTGCAACAACTTGATAGGAAATAACTATGTAATGTTAAAAACATAATCTAACTGTGAAATTGCAAAAGTTTAAAAAATATTCACTTATTTGATAAAAAAAAAATGCTAAAAATGTAGGTATATGCAGGTATATACATATATAATCGATCGAATGATTTATAAACAGCTTTGAATATCATGCATCATGCCATCTATTTGTGAAACGATTGTTAAGATATTTGACAACTTAATTCGACAGAACGTGGCAAAGTAATCTTAAAAAACATGGCTGATAAGTATAATCATACGATTACATTTTTTTAAGTAATTGTTATTTGTGAAAAGAGTGCGCTCGATATATGCGGAACACACGAAAACTAATTATTTCTATTATTCTTAAAATCGTGAAAAATAATGTAGTTAAGGTAGTTAACAAAATGCAGAAAAATAATAAGTTGCAAATTATCGAGTTACAATGTTTTCGTCGAAGGTTTTTATGTAAATAGACTGTTATGTTAGGGGTTTTTGTAGTATAAGTGTAATATTTTTACTGGTACATGACAACATAAGTTGAAAATGTACAGGACTGCCTTATACTTTACTGTCTGCTCAATTTGGCTATGCCAAATTATTACAGGTGAGTGTTATCATCAAGTAATTTAACGTCAATTGGAGAACTCCATAATGATTATTTTTTGTTGTTAATTAAGGTGTTTTAAAATTATATTACTCTTTTAGGAGTCCTCTCATTGAAATGCAAATGTGATCTATGTAAAGACAAAAATTACACATGCATCACAGATGGATACTGTTACACTTCAGCCACTCTTAAGGATGGTGTTATCTTATATAATTACAGGTATATTTCCTCATACAGATATACATATAATTTTGAAAGTGTAACATTATTGCAAGTTCAGGAATGTTAAAATTATTTATCTTTTATGTGCAGTATATGTAACATACAATAATCTTGCAGTAAAGTTACTCTTTTGTAATTTCTTATAGTTGGTTCTGTATTATTTCCGTTATGTTCTTTTGGTCATATATCTTTTTAAATACTATATATCCTAGACAACTAGGAGCCAGTCTAAATCGATTTAGTAAATCCTACCTTACCTCCTACAACCAAATTGATGTGTACTAACACTCAAAGAAAGTTTATGAATAATTACACTATTTAAACAAAAACGTCGCCTTTAAAAGTTTTACAATTCAAGCACTAATATTAGCTTAACAAAACTCACGGGTTTCATTAAACAATTTAAAGTTCAAACAAAAAGTTAGTTTAATTGTAATTAGTGAATCTATTACATAATTTATACTAAAAAATCTGGTTATACAGTATACAGTATATACAGTTAAATGGCAGAATATAAAATTTATGTACCTACATATTATATGCATATTATTTATTNACTTTAAACTTCTTTCATGTTTCAAATGTCAGATTAAGAAGTCTAAAGGAGGATTTTACATTTTTATATGGTATACGTTTAACATTGACAACTTTATAGCGTTTCATATTCTTTGTATTTTTAGTACATTAAAAAATTAAAAAGAATACTCACCCCTAATTACTATTTATTTTTACCAATTATTTGTGGTAATTAGGAGTGAGTATTCCTTTTAAGTTTTTAATTAATATTTACCACAGTCTCCTCCTATTTTTAATGCAGTTTAATAATTGATGTCAAGGATCTAAATTTTTAGTTTGGATCATATTATATTTGCATTACAAAATTGTAATAGATAATAGAAAAGATAAACACTTTGTTTTTGTTTTACGAATTTATTCGTTTAGCGATATCGTTTCGGCTTTTACACCATTCTCAAAAGACAGTATAATTGTAGTTCACAATGTTTTGTTAATTATTATGTACAGACCAAGCGTTTCTGTGATTGTCAGCAAATAGCAGTGATTGTTGCAATTCAAGAAAGTTTTAAATAATATAAAATCGTTTTTATCGACAGTAGGTAACGGTTTGATATTTCGTCTATCTAGCCCGATCGAAACCAAGTCCGACTTGTGTCAGGTATATTGTTTTTAACTGTTTTTGCATGATCTTTTGCGTTTTTTTCTGTGGAGCTTTGCTTTTTAGCCTTTGTACTTGTTTCTATTTTACAATTTACATATGTGTACTAACACTTAACCAAAGCGCCTCCAAAAGTAAATATTTTGTTTACCTTTTGAGACGCTTATAATCTATTATTAATTCATGCCTAAAGAATGCATTTAATTTTACTGTGTTTACAGTGCCATTCTAGGGTTTGGCAAAAAAAATAATAAAAAATGAAAAGCCATTGTTTTTGAAATATATATATTTTTTTAATAATTTAGATAACGCTACATCGGACACGTCGTTGGGTACTATAGAAATAGCAGTTGTAATAATTCTTCCTACGCTCGTTATTTGCATTATAGCGATGGCTATTTATCTGTATTATCAAAACAAACGAAGTACGCATCATCATTTAGGTTTAGGGGATGATAGCATCGAAGCCCCCGATCATCCCATTTTGAACGGCGTCAGTTTGAAGCACATGATCGAAATGACGACTAGTGGTAGTGGATCTGGTAAGATAAAAACATATTGTACAATAATATGTTGCTCAGTTTTAACGATTTTTAGGATTACCTTTGTTGGTACAGAGGAGTATTGCTCGCCAAATTCAGTTGGTGGAAATTATTGGGCAGGGTAGATATGGGGAGGTGTGGAGAGGTCGTTGGAGGGGAGAAAATGTCGCTGTGAAAATATTCAGCTCTAGAGAAGAAAGGTCTTGGTTTAGGGAGGCTGAAATTTATCAGACAGTTATGTTACGTCATGATAATATTTTAGGTTTTATTGCAGCTGATAATAAAGGTATGATATGGGTACAATTTTTAAAATTTAGTTTTGCTGAAATATATCCTAGTGTTTCTAAATACATGTATATATTTAAAATTATTCTAATAGATACTAATTTTTGCCCCCTATCAGTCACTGGTAGCACCATTGCTTCGGGCGGTCGAAATTAACTTCTGTGAACAATTTGTTTAATCACTTTCTTTGTGTTAAAAATTGTTTGAAAATTTAAATTTAAAGGAATTGTTTGTAAATAGGTATGCAACACATCGTACACTTCATCATAAGAAATTGCTGATGCTAACTACGTAATACTGCTTTGCCCTGTGTTGGCAGCACTCATAATTTCTTTTAAATATAATATTATTCCAATGATGTTTATAAAAAGTAGCCTATTCGTGCGTTCATATGTCAAATTCTTTTTTTATTTTTATCACTTAAGTTTATAACCTTCATTTCCGAAATATTACTTTTAAAAGTCGCTCACAATGTATCCTGCTACTATTTCTAAACAAGGCTTTCTAAAAATCTTAAAAAAAATCAGGATTGTGACGTGTAGAAAGTAATGATAAAAAGCTAAATTTTGTTCAACTTCTATTAATAAATTAGAGTCGTTTTATGTATATTACAGACAATGGAACATGGACGCAGCTATGGCTTATAACCGATTACCATGAGCATGGATCTTTGTTTGATTATCTAGGCAGAAACACATTTGATACGAGTGCTATGATTCGCATGGCCCTTTCAATTGCCACTGGTCTAGCTCACCTTCATATGGACATAATGGGTACCCAAGGTATGAAATATACATAGTCACAGTTGATCAATGTCCTTTTTTTTATTTTGTCTATTTATGAGTTTATTTTTTTCTTTCACAAAGGAAAACCGGCCATAGCGCATCGTGACCTGAAATCGAAAAATATATTAGTTAAATCGAATGGTACCTGTGCTATTGGTGACCTTGGATTAGCTGTTCGCCATGATGTTACCACGAATACAGTCGATATACCTCTTAATAATCGAGTGGGAACCAAGCGATACATGGCACCTGAAGTAAGAGATTAATTTTTTATTCATATTACCCTCATCTAAATCTTATTTTTTGTTTTTTTCTTCTCATTTTTTTTTACTTTTTATCTTTCTACTTATTTATTACCATACACCACACCAATGTACACCAATGTGCAGGCGCATATTGTGCCTCCTTGCTGGAAGGTACTGTATACTCACAGTATAAGATTGTACTTATGTATTATGTTTAACATCCAAATGATGTAGTGTTTAAATAAATAAATAAATAGAAAAATAAAATAAATATTAGAAAAGATATTTATTTTGTTTGCTTTTCACGTTGGTTTGTTTTAGGTTTTAGACGAAACCATGAACATAGAGCACTTCGATTCGTTTAAAAGAGCCGACGTATACGCTTTAGGGCTAATATTTTGGGAAATATCAAGACGGTGTAATGTTGGTGGTATTTATGATGAGTACCAATTGCCGTTTTATGATGCCGTACCCTCAGATCCTACCATTGAGGAAATGAGAAGGTATATTATTAATTAATTCATATTAAGATAACATACCTCAACTACTTTACTCAGAAATCGTGTGAATTAGAAGCCTGAAATTTGCAAATTGAACTTTTAAGGGATTCAATTCCCATTGTCGGAATCATGAGTACTTTTAATTAGAATTATTAGTTTTGGAGTAATTCTATTGAAATTAGGACAAGCTCTTTATTTTTTAATTATGCCGGACTGATGTTTGATTTTTTGTATAGGGTGGTTTGTGTTGAACGCCAAAGGCCTAGCATACCGAACCGTTGGCAAAGTTGTGAAGCGTTGCATGTCATGAGTAAGTTGATGAAAGAATGCTGGTATCATAACGCCACGGCCAGACTGACCGCTTTGAGGATTAAAAAGACTCTTGCCAACTTCAGAGCGTCGGAAGAATTGAAAATGTGAAGTCAGAGAAACGAGTGCTTTACGTAAGAAATTGTTTTAGTTCATATATTTCAAATAACCTATCCTACTTTCCTTGACATAAATACATCCTCTCCTATTTTCATTTAACTTACTTAGAGACTCATTAATTTTTGATACTGCTCTTATAACGACCCAACAGTTTAGTTAAGTGCAGTTAGTAGAATATTAGATTATGAATTAGGGGAAC